GGGCCCTGGCAATGCTGCCTTAGTTGCAGGGGGCTGTCATCGCTGCTCTGACCTGGTGCATGTTACACTGGCCACAGGGTTCTCCCTGCACCCTGCCTGGCTCTCCTCTCCAGGCCATGCTGAGGGCCAGAGGTAGTTTCTGGAGAATGCCCCTCACCCTGGAGCCAGCCCTGAGGCCACCTGCATTGTGGGCCTGGGCTGTTTGCACCTTGGGGATGAGAAGCTGGGTGGGCCGGAGCTGCAATGCCCAATCCTTCCCCCACGCATGCTCTGTGCTTTGTCCACACAGGTCCTGGACCCTGAGCTGGAGGTGGCAGACGTGGCCTTCCCCCCGTCCACTGTCTCCGCCTCCTCTCTCAAAATGCAGGTGAGTGTGGAGCATGTGCACATGTGTGTATGTGCATGTCTGCGCGCACGGGTGCATCTAGGTGGAGTTCTTGGGCAGAGATCTGAGTCCATCCCCAGGGCAGACAGGGGTTGGGGCTCCCATCAAGGTGAGACAAGGATTTGTTTGGGATGGTCTTGCCTCATGCAGGGCTTGGCCTAACTGACCTGCAGGGTGGGTCCATGCAGGGCCCCGCCAGCCTGACTGCCCTACGGTTCTGAGAGGTGTTGGCAAAGGAGCTGGCCGTGACATGGCAGGGGGGCTTGCAGGGCTGAGCTGGGGGCTTTCTCCTTGCCCTCCATGCACATGGAGACTAGCAGCTCCTTTCAGACAGACAATACCCCTGCCCCGGGTCAGCTGCTGCTGGAGCTGAGCTCTGGAGAGCCCTGCGGAAAGGCCTCCTTGCAGCCAGCCTGGGCATGTCCTGCCGGGCAGGTGGCTTGGAGCCTGGCGCGGTGTCCCCACCACTCGGGCGGCTCCTCTGCTCCCCTCTCGCAGCTGACCGGCCTGTCCTCCCCCTGCGCAGGACAAGGAGATCCGGGCTGTCTTCCTCCGCCTGTTTGCACAGCTGCTGCAGGGCTATCGCTGGTGTCTGCACATCATCCGCATCCACCCAGAGCCCGTCATCCGCTTCCACAAGGTACGGATCGCAGCAGGGCCACATGGGTGGTAGGCAGTCTCCTGGCACTGCCGCAGGGAAAGCCCAGGCTGAGCAAACCAAGGGTGGGTTCTTATTTGGATGGGGCAGCATCATGGGGAGCTCAGTTAGGCAGATTCTTCCGTCCAAGGGCTTGTCTGGATGTGTGGGGGGCCTTTCCAGATTAAAACACCACGTGTCCACGCAAGCCAAAATCTTCCCGGAATCTGCTGCCCCGACCTCTTAGCCCAGGAAGTTTGCTGCTTCCCGGGAGCCAGAATCCCAGATATTGCGGAGAAGATCCCTAAACTCCTCCAGCCCACTGACCACCACCCTATGCTCCTCATCCATGCGGGCACCAGTGACACAGCTCGGAGCACTCCCAGCCGGGTCATGAGGTGCTACAGGGATTTGGGTGCGGGGCTTAAAGGTCTGGGGGTGGAGGTGGTGTTTTCTTCAATCCTCCCAGTCTCGGGCTATGGGCTGAGGAGGGAGAGGAGGATCCAGGTAGTCAACCGAAGACTGCGGCGCTGGTGTCTTCGGGGAGGCTTTGGCTTCCATGACCACAGCCCGCTCTTTGGTGAGAGAGGCAGCGTGCTATTGGGAAGGGACAGCCTCCACTTCTCTCCGCTGCGGGGGAGGCTCTTCTTGGCCAGACTGGCTGACCTGCTTCACCAGGCTTTAAACTAAGCCCACCAGGGCATGGGGGGACTAACACCACTGCTGGCCTGCTGAGCAACCCTTGCAAAGCCAGCAGGCCAAGGCAGTTAAGGGAGCCCACCCCTGCCCCAGCCCTGGTGCAATCTGTGGGCAAGGCAAGGGCCCCCAAGGGGACACTTGCATGTCTATACACAAATGCCAGGAGCTTGGGAGATAAATGGGAGGAACTTGTTTTCCTGCTAAATGCAAATACTATGATGTCTTAGGGCTAATGGAGACCTGGTGGGACTCTACCCATAACTAGACCATGGGTATAGACGGCTATACCTTGTACAAGAGAGATCGAGTCTACAGGCCAACGAGAGGTAAAGCGCTGCTCGACCTGGTACTGGCAACCGGGGACAACCTAATCAGTGACCTAACGATCGAACGGAAGCTGGGTGACGGTGACCATGTGCTGATCACCTTCACCATCTGGTAAAGCTGGCAAGTCAGTAATACAGAAGTCCTTTACTTCAAGAAAGCTGACTTTGAGAAACAAAGGAGGGTTGTCAGAGAGGCCCTAAAAAGCCACAACCCAATGAAGAGGAGAGTTCAGGACGAGTGGTTGCTCCTCAAGGGAGCAATCCTGGATACACAAGCAAAGTCCATCCCGTCTCGGAGGAAAGGCAGCCAAAGGGCACAGCAGCCCCCCTGGCTCTCTAGGGAACTGGCGGACCTCCTGTGTTTAAAAAGGAAGACCTACAAAGGATGAAGGACTGGATCCACCTCCAAGGAGGAATACTCTGCTCTGGTCCGGACCTACAGAGAGCAAACCAGGAAAGCCAAGGCTGCGACAGACCTCCAACTGGCTATAAGTATCAAGGACAATAAAAAGTCCTTTTTTAGATATGTGGGGAGCCGGAGGAAGAGCAAGGGCAACTTTGGACCCCTGCTAAACCAGATAGGACAACTGACATCCAATGAGCAGGAAAAAGCGAACTTGCTAAATGGGTACTTTGCGCCAATTTTTCACCAGTTCCATGGGATGCCCCTGGCCACTGTGGGTCAGGGAGGCCCGGGTGAGGGAGATCCCTTACCCTCCATTGAAGCTGTCCTCATGAAGGAACACCTCGACAGGCTGGACACCTTCAAGACAGCTGACGGGTTACACCCCAGGGTACTCAGGGAGCTGGCGAGCATCATGGCCCAGCCCCTGGCATGGGTCATCGAGAGCTCCTGGTGCTCTGGTGAAGTGCCTGAAGACTGGAAGAAGGCCAATGTGGTGCTGATCTTCAAGAAAGGGGGGAAAGTAGATATGGGGAACTACAGGCCTATCAGCCTGACCTCTATCCTGGGGAAGGTCTTGGAAAAGATTATCAAAGAGGCCATCCTTAACAGACTAGCTGAAGGCAATATCCTGAGGAATAGCCAGCACAGATTTGTTGTGGGTAGGTCTTGCTTGACCAATCTCATTTCCCTTTACAACCAGGTAACCTATCACCTGGACAAGGGGGAAAAGATTGATGTCATATATCTTGACTTTAAGAAAGCCTTTGATTTGGTATCCCATGATCACCTCTTGGCAAAACTGGCTAACTGTGGCCTTGACCTCACTACAATCTGCTGGCTGGGGCACTCGCTCCGTGGTAGGACCCAGAGGGTAGTGGTCGACGGGAGCCAATCGTCGTGGTGGACGGTCACCACTGGGGTCCCCCCAGGCTCTGTCATAGGGCCTGTACTATTTAACATCTTCATCAACGATGTGGACATTGGTGTCAGAAGCGGACTGGCCAAATTTGCCAAAGACACTGAATTCTGGGGTAAAGCTTCCACACCTGAGGACAGGAGGGTGATACAGGCAGATCTGGACAGGCTCAGCAAATGGGGGAATGAGAACCTGCTGGCGTTCAACACTGAAAAATTTAAGGTTCTCCACCTTGGGAGGAAAAACCTGCAGCATCCTTATAGGTTCAGCAGTGCTACGCTGGCTAGCACTACAGATGAAAGGAACTTGGGGGTCATGATTGACCACAAGATGAACATAAGCCTGCAGTGTGATGCTGCAGCTAGTAAAACGAGCAGAATGCTGGCTTGCATCCATAGATGCTTCTCAAGCAAATCCCGGGACATCATTCTCCCCTTGTACTCGGCCCTGGTGAGGCCGCAGCTGGAGTACTGCGTCCAGGTTTGGGCTCCACAATTCAAAAAGGATGTGGAGAAGCTTCAGAGAGTGCAGAGAAGAGCCGCGCGCGTGATCAGAGGTCAGGAAAGCAGACCTTACGATGACACCTTGTCCAGACAGGAGAGGAGTTAAAAAGGCTGAGGAGTGGAGCTGAGCCAACAGAGGACAGGGCAGTAGTGACAAAGGAAAGATTTGCTGGCACAGCTGTTGGAGGAAATGGGGAAGCCACCAGCCATGTTAGAGAGCATCTGAGCACAGCATCCATTCAGCACCCTGACCTCAGCTCAGATGCGTCCTGCCACCCACAAACATCACCCACTGTTGGGGCCAGGACATGGGCACTCCCCACCCAGGCAGGGAGACTAGTGAACCCTGGGGTCTCTGTAGCTCCTGCAGCTCTGTCTGTCACTGCATCCCCCCGAGGCAGGCGGAGAGGCAGAGATGCTGCTCCTGTGAGCACCAAGCACAGGAAACTCCAGGACTCCACAAGGGCTCTTCATAGAGAGCTATGAAATCATGAAGCAAACTGTTGTTCGGCAGATCTGGAGAAGAGAATACAGAGGATTTGATAGCAGCCTTCAACTCCCTGCAGGGTGGTTGCAAAGAGGATGGAGCTGGACTGTTCTCAGCTGGTGGAGATGACTGGACAAGGAGCAAGGGAAGATGAGGTTAGATATTAGGAAAACTTTCTCACCAGGATGGTAGTAAAGCTCTGGAACAGGTTACACAGAGAGGAGGTGGACTCTCCATCCTTGGAGGTGTTGAAGACCTGGATAGACAAAGCCCCGGCTGGGATGACATAGTTGGGGCTGGTCCTGCTTTGAGCAGGAGGTTGGATTAGGTGTGACCTCCTGAGCTCCCTTCCAGCCCTCATCTGTGATTTTAAGTCCCAGGATACTAGAACTAGGGCTCACCTGCTGAAATTAGCAGGTGACAGGTTTAAAACTAACAAGAGAAAGGACTTTTCTGTGCAGCGTGTTGATAATTTGTGGAACTCGCTGCTGCAGGAGGCAGCCAAGGCCGATAACACAGCAGGCTCAAAAAGGGACCAGCTGTGTCCATGGATGATGGATCCATTGGTAGCTATTAAACCACAGTCAAAGTTGTTGGTTCTGACATCTATGTGGTGCTGGATGCAGGGAGGGTGCAGCGGGGGATAGATCGCTCTAGATCAGGGATCCTCCACCATGGTGCCATAAGATTCTTTCAAGGGCACCACAGGCACCAGGATTAGCCATACGAGATGAACAGATATGATTCACAAGCTTGTTGATGCCTTCGGCCACATCTGTGCTGTCACAGTCCATGAAACCTCCCTGGTGCTGTGTCCCCGGGTCAGCCCAGGAGCTGTTTGTTCACTGCGGGTTTTACTGCTTGTCATGGGTTCAGTGGCCTCATAAACCTGTGTGGGCCAGAGACACCGTGGTATGGCCTTTCATCAAACTATAACCCATGCGCACAAAATTCTGCTCGTAAACCCCTCGTGTGGATGCTCTTATATAAGTCATGCCAAACTTGCCTTCCGGAGTCAGGCTGGGGCTGGCAGGGCCTCTGGAGGTCATGTCCAGTCCAACCCAACCCTCTGCTCAGGGCAGGATGCACCCCATCGAACCCATCCCAGACAAGTGTTTGTCTAACTTCATCTTAAAGACTTTGTGTAAAACCCTCTTGCATAACAGATGGGCACCATGCCTGAAAGATCAGGAATGCCCAGACTTGCCCCAGGTGGAGCTTGCAGACAAGGCCTCTGCCAGTGTCCTGCTGCTTTGGGGGCAGGAAGGAGCGAGGGGGTCAGGGTGGCCAACGTCCTGCTTCTCCCAGGGTGGGTCATGGGCACTGCAGAGAGCCCAGGTCCAGGCTGTGCCCATGCTGTAGAGGAAGGCAAAACCCCCCAGTGCAACCAGTCTGAGCAGGGGGGAAATCCCTTCCTGCCCCCAGTGCAGCGTTGGGCTGAGCCTGAGTGCAGGGGCAAGACCCTCCAGTGAGGACCCTGCGGGGTTGGTGCCAGCAGCAGCATTGACACAGCCCAGCCCCATCCCCAGCCTGGGCTGCACCCAGCACCTCTATGGGAAGGGAAAAATCCCTGACACCTGTAACAACAGGAGGGGGAAAAATTCTTTCTTGGCCCCTTGTAGCAACAGCAGACTCTAGAAACTGGAAAACCAGGCAGCCTCCCCTCTGCTCTGCAGCCTGGGGACAGCGAGCAGAAGCCACATATCCCAGCTCTCCTGGACAGAGCTCAAACACCCTCTGTGCCATCCTTTCTCTCCATAAGCTTATCCCAGTTGCTTTAATCTTTTATACGCAGGCCAGTTGTGGAGCTCTGCTTCACTCCTTTGCTGCTTCATTCCCCAACATTCCCAGCGGGGTGATCTCCTGGGCTTCCAGCTGTTGCTCCTCCAGTCCAGGTCATCCCTAAGCAATGCTTCACCCTGTTCTTGAACACCTCCAGCGATGGAGAGTCCACACCTTCCCTAGGTGTCTGTTCCTCCACCTCGCTGCTCTGACAGCGAAGACGTTTTCCCCCAATTATTCAATCCAGACCCTTTCTTGCTGCAATTTCAAGCCATTCTTGCATGTCCTGCTCTCTGCAGAGATGAAAAAGAGGTGGTTTACTTCCTCTTCATGGCAGCCCTTCTGGTTTTGAGAACTGCCCTCCTGCCCCCTGTTAAAGCACCTTTTCCACAAGCTGAACGTGCCCAGCTCCTTCCACCTCTTCTCATAGGACTTGCTTTCCATGACCTTTATCATCTTGGTTGTCACCTCTGGCCACCTCTCTGACTTTTCTCCACGTCACTTCTAAATGGGGAGCCCAAACTGGCGCGCACTGCGCTGGACAAAGCCCAGCCAGTGCTGAGCAGAGTCACTATCACCTCCTGCGTGTCTTGCACCTTTATGCTTCTATTGATGGCTCCCAAAGCTGCATTCACCTTTGTGCAGCTGCATCATTGCTCACATCAGGAGCACCGTGGAGAAGGACCTCCTCTGCAGCCTCAAACCCAAGGGGGAATGAAGAAAACAGGCGGGTCTGTGCATGACCTCCCTGGTAGCACCTGGCTGTCTGGCCTGAGCAACTGCACCTGCTCTGTAGCTGCGCGTGTCTCTGTGGCAAACTTCCCCCCAACCACCCCCATATACTTGATCTCCAAACTGCCCAGCTCCTGAGCCATACTTGTTGGGGCCAGCGAGCTTCTAGAGGGCTGTTGCATTTTTGTCCGTATCTGAGTCAGACCAGCAGCCTGAGAACCAGCTCCCACCCTCCCCTCGAGCCCTGGCCCCACAGGTACCAGTGAGCTTGCTCCACATGGCATCAGAGACCAGGATTGGGGTGTGATGGGCCCTTCCCTCCATCTGCCTGGCAGTAGGTTTGAAGTGGCCCTGGGGTCTTTCCAGACAAGTCAGGGAGTTGCCAGTGCTTGCCAGTCCACCCCCAAGGTCCTGTGTCCCCCCAACCTCCTGCAGTGCTCCACAGGTGTGTCCCCACCTGCCGGGCAGGGCACCACGCAACACAGGGCACCTGGCTCTCCTGGTTGGCGGAAGCTCTGTGCCGCGGGACGGGGAAGCTGGCTGTGCGCACACGGTTATTTTAGGTTTGCATACATGTTCTGCACACATGCATCCTGTGTAGATGAGCCTCGAACCTGAGCTTCAGCACGGCCCTGCGCCCCTCTGCTTCCAGCCTGCGGCAGGTGGATGCCTGACCTGCCCCCCAGACTGGAGGAGGGGTTGGGCAGCTGGCAAAGCTCTCGGGTCCCATAGTTCAGCCCTGTCAAGGCCTGTGACGGCAAGGCAGGCCCAACCCAAGAGGCTCCTTTCCCATGAGTGAGCTGGGGACGCAGGGCTTGGGCACATGTCCCAGTTGTGCTCCCCGTGGGGGCTGATGTCCGGAGGGGACTGTGGGGCTGGACTCCCCCCAGTGTTTCCCCCATGCCTCAGCGTGCTGTTCGTCCTTGCAGGCAGCCTTCCTCGGGCAGCGGGGGCTGGTGGAAGACGACTTCCTCACCAAGGTGCTGGAGGGCATGGCATTTGCCGGCTTCGTGACAGAGCGGGGAGCCCCGTACCGGCCCATTGACCTGTTTGATGAGGTAAGAGGACGCCCACATCTCCCTGGCTCACTGATACTGGGCCAGGGAGTATGCCCCTGCTGAGACCTCCCAGCCATGCCAAAAACCACTGGGGATGGGGCCCACAGCGTCCCTGCCAGTCCTGGACCACAGGTCCGTGCCGCCTCCCTCATGCCTGCCCACTCCTTCAGCTGGTTGCCTACGAGGTCAAGCGCATGCACGCGGACAAGGGGAACAAGCAGAAGATCCTGCGGCACATCAAGGAGCTGGCGGAGAAGCTCTACAAGAACGTGAGTGCCGCGGGGAGGGGCTCAGGGCACTGTGGGGGTAAGGGGAGCCCACGCTAAATGCTCCTTTCCTTTCCCAGTGTCATCTGCCAGGTGCAGGGCTTGGGGTGGGTTCCTGCCTGCCAGCTTTCAGCCCCCACCCTGCCTACAGCCCCTGGTTGGAGCTAGGGGGAGGGAGTCAGCACTGGGTCTCGGCCCCAGGTGGTAATGTCCCTCCCTTGTCACATGGGGCATCTCATGCCCACAGCCCCGCTGGTCTCCTGACCTGGGCTGGACTTGCTGAGGGAGTTGGAGCACGACACCTCTGCCCCATGTGGCCTTCAGGCCACACTCCTGCCAGGCTACTGGGGTGTAGCTGCTGCTGGGGTGTTCAGGGAGCCTGGGGTTTGGGGGGGTGGCTGTGGGCAGCATCCCCGTGCCTTGGGGAGCCGTGGCACATGGGGTTCATAGTGGAGGGTGACTGCCCACACTCGCCGACGCAGGAGAACCCGTACCCCGCGGTGACAATGCACAAGGTACAGAAGCCCACAGAGGGCTGCCACCTCCGCCTGCACCAGAAGCCCTTCCCCCGCCTGGACGAGGGCACGGTCCAGTGGATCATCGACCAGGCCACTGCCAAATTGCAGACTGCCCCGCCAGCCGTCAAGGCAGAGAAGAAGTGCATGGTGCCATTGGGGACCCCCATAGGTGCGTGCGGGTCACCTGGGAGCAGGTTGGGGTGGCTGCTGCTAGGAATCGGGACTCCCGGGTTCCTCCCCGGCCTAGGCCACTGGCTTGCTTCACTTCGGCTACCCCAACTTGCTACTGAGTCACTGCCTCCAGTCAGGTGTCAGTGGGGTCCCTTCATCTCCTGTGCCAGGCCATAAGGCACAGTTGTCCCCAGTGGTCTTAGCTGGGCAGGGCATAGTCTCAGTCGCAGCCTGCTGAGTGGGGCTGGGGGTTCCTAGAGCCGGGAGGCAAGGCAGCGGGCCAGCTACAGCCCGGAGCGAGTTGAGCAGGCCAGAGCCCAGCTCCCGGCCACGCGGTGACGGCACCTCTGCCCCCAGCCGCCATCCTGGAGCGCAGTGGGAATGCCCTGGCCAACAGCGCGCGGCGCCTGGAAGTCGTGCGGAACTGCATCTCCTACGTCTTCGAGAACAAGACGCTAGAGGCCAAAAAGGTGGGAGCTGGGGGAGAGGAGGGGAGGGGGCTGCCCCAGCTTTGGCTCTGGCCATTCTGGCTCCTCACCCGCAGACCCGTCTTGCCTCATTTGGCCCGTGTGGGCTGGCCAAGCCACAGCACAGCAGCTTGCAGCATGGTCTGTGGTGAGGGGGTGGGAAGCAGGGAGCCTTGTTCAAGGGTCAGTGCACTTGAACTACAGGGGGTGGGTGGAGGTGAGTCTGGGGGCTTGAGCCACGCCTTTCCCCACCACCAGGCATGGAGCGCTCCCCTGCATGTTTCCAAGGTAGGGGAGGCTTGGCATCATCTCTGCTGCCGCCAGCTGCCCTCCAGCAG